TTACTGGCCTTGCTGGATCTAATAACACAAGACACTGGCACAGGCAATGACTGTGTAGTGTGGAAGAATGGAGGATATCAGATATCTGAGAAACCAAGTTCAGCTTTAGGTCTTGGTTATGGTGGCAACCCCAAAGTATTTGAGGGAAAGCCCTACTGTTATGCAAGAGCCAAATAAACAATTTTCCCATAAATAGCACCATTTGGCAACGTCACTGAATATTTTAATTGGCTGAATGAGAGCAAAAATATGTGCTTTGAGACATTATCTAATAGTAGTAAAAGCAGATCAAAGACTACTGCTCTTGAGGGAGTTCATCTGAGGTCACGCTAACCGGCGCCTCAGTCTCCAGCTCATAACTTAAGCATCAAAGCTGTGTTTGTGTGAGAGAGAGTGCGTGAGTGCATGACTATTTGAGGCCAAGAATACGAGACCAGTCTCTCCAAGGTGCCATCACTCTGCTCCCGTCAGTCTCAGCACTCTGACATCCCGGTGCTGCACCTCAGGTCCCCTGCGGTCAGTGACCTCTGATCCCCCCCCGGCCCTTCTAGGCCCGTCAGGACCATCAGATGGATATGTGCCCTGCAGGGATCAGAGGACTTGGGATACATGGAAAAGCTATTCATGCTCGTTTTTCTAGAGATTCCTCTGGAGCGGCTGTTCTCTGCATATTGAGTGAAAAAGAAGAATATCATGGCTGACTTGCACTTTCATCACAGAGTGAGAGGGGAAAGCAGGGGAAGGAAAGAATGATTTGTATGCAATTTAAACCTCATATACTCTAATTTAGTGATGGCAGAAATGGATTCAAGAGTACTCTATGGACCATGTTTAGTGGTCCTGCTAACTCCCAGAGCCAAATCCAGGGTCACTGGTAGTGCTCTTGGCCAGCTAGGCCAGGGCTGGAAAGATGGAGAGCTCAGACCTGGAGTCAGGCCAACCAGGCAGGGAGAGGCTAGCAAAGCTGGCTGCCAGGAACTGAGGGTGCTGTGATGGCACCACTGACTATTCTGGATATCTCCCTCCCACCAAAGCACTTAACATGCAGTATAAGCCAACACACAAACAAACAAACAAACAGATACACACACCATTCACATAAACACGCAGACGCCAAGGGATGCTTGGAAAACTAAAGAACAGAGGCAGGAGGAGAGCATCACTCAGAGACCCATTAACCTCTGGCTCCCAACCAGAACAGTGAGCAGGCGTCCTTTAAGTACACGTTAAACATAGCTAGTCTATGTGTGTGTGTGAAAAGTGATTTATGTATTATTTCAATGTGTCCATGTGTCTGTATATATGTCCATAAAAAGACTGAGTCATTTTAAATGAAGACAGTTTCCAGGGGATGAAAACATGGTTGTCCTCTGTATTTATGAATGAAGGTCACAGAAAATGACCCATCGCTATTTAACCCTTCAGCTAGTCACTAGTAGTCCGTATTGGTGAGAGAAAGTGCTCTGAGGAATACTTCCTCATGCAGAGAAATGCCTCCCCAGGAGAGAAGTTCCAGACTAAACACTCTACTCATTCAGCTGCTCCCCTTCACCCCACCGACAAGAGACGATGCTTGACAAGCGCTCCCAACAGAAAACCTCACTTTTTCCACCAATTATAGAAAGCAATGCGACTGGGGGAGGAGGCAAAACTTCATAATATTATACACACTGGCATTTGGCGAAGAGCATTGAGCAACCTCTGTCAGAGAGAGATGGGCTAATTTCAGGGCCATCATTGCCAACACAAACAACTGTTCTGGCTAGCGTTCATTGTCAGCACTTGAGGTTTGAGTCGAATTTTTCAACGCTCCGCAGCCAATTTCTCTTTCCCCTATTTTTCCCCCCATATGATTTGTCCTTGTCCAAGATCCCAGTCAGTCTTTCATCGCCTACGTAGTCCGAGCTTAAATAGTATTCTTATAGAGAACAAACTGAGACCCAGATGCTCATCTACACACACACAAACGAAAACAAAAATAGAACGTATAGTTTTCTTTCAGGTTTTCAGTGTGTGTCCACATGAGCTCATGTGCCTAAATACAGACCTGTTTTAAGTATATTGCAGGCATGACTTCATTGATGCTGTGCATTTTTGATGTATGCAAGTGCTTGCGTTCAGGTTATGTCCATCAGCAGGCGCAGGGTCGGCGTGAGGAGGCGTGAGTTAAAACAGTTACCGCTTCGGTCTCTGTGTGCTGGGATTCATATCGCAGCCATGTCAACGTAAACATCATATGTTTCTGTTTGTGTCTCCAAAGCAGTATTTACTTCTACTTTGATTTTGTTTATTAAAGGCTTTTACTGTTCAACATAAAAGCAAGGAGCCATGGCAGGACATTTGGAGTACAGGCTGTAATGTTAAATTCATAGTCTACTCATAATTCTTACAGCTCACGCATGGTTATGGGTATGTGCCAGTCAATGAGATGGACAGCACTATTCTGCCATTATAGAAACCTCACACAGTCGGGGTCTTATCCTCTGTGGCAAATCATACGCACCTATGCACATCAGGGGAGGAGCATTTGGTTATGTATGTGTGTGTGTGTGTGTGTGTGTGTGTGTGTGTGTGTGTGTGTAAAGGGGGGTAGATGTTGAGGTGGAAGCTGAATGGGCACTTTTGGAGGCCCCTGTTGCCTGAACATGCAGCCTTTACTTTGCTCCAGTATTGAGGCAGCTGTCTTTAATAGAAGAGCTCAGCTCAGCCCATATTTATTCAGGTACAGCTGACAGAGAGGGAGAGACAGTGAAAGAGGCGTGGCCCTTCTTTTTCCTGGCAGCCGTGCAGCACTCCTGCGGTTTTTTGGGGGGCAAAGGGACAAGGCGAAAAGACACAGACACTGAGACAGAGGGAGAAGGCGAGCGGCACACAAGAAAAGAAGGAGCTGAAATGAAAAGGCATGGCTCCAGTCAGTCCTGTGTTGACTGGACATCCTGTGCAAGAGACCAGCCCCAGAGGCCCCTGGGGCCACCAGGGAGGGGGTGTGTGAACTGAACTCTTCAGTCTCACTTGATGGCTATGTCCAAGACAAATCACCAGTGGTGCTGCTGTCACCGTGGGCCTTGACCAAGACAAACAGCCGTGTTTTAAAATAAGTACCTGCCCCCTCACAGCCCTTTTCACCTTATCCACACTCAGGCACATCCATATCTCCTCACACGTTCAAGCATATTCCCTTCACAGGTCATAGGACTGGAGCTGTAGTCCAACGCTCTACACAGGGGACTCACTTTTCACCCTCTCAACGCTGTCTGCCTTCTCTCCTTTGCACACACACTTGTGAATATTTACCACATCACACACGTTCCATTGTGGACAAAATGCTAGGACTGCAATAACGGGGGTGAGTGTGAGTGTGTATGACACAAAATGTATAGCAGGTTTAAGGGACAGCGTCTGTATGCATGTGTATGTGTGAGCTTGATCGTCTATGTATATCTGAGCTTGCATGCACAAAACCTTGGCTGAATCGTAAACTGCCAACTGCGCAGAAGTGTCAGCACTATTCCTTGCTTTTACTTAACAGCACATTGCATCTTGGGAGTTGTGGTTTGTCTGAAGGGGCCTGTCTGTGTCGCTGCCTGCGGCCTGCACCAGTGGGACTGGTGTTCCTCACTGAACTGAACCTCATTTATCTCTGTGGCAGAGCCCTTCTACTCCAGCACTGGTCCTCCTGGACCCCTGAACTGCTGACACTGCCCCCCCCTCCTCCCCTCCTCCCTTCTCCCTCCTCTGAGCTCCAGCATGCGGCAAAAATTGTGAGATGTGTTTCATCTGCATATTGATCAGCCCGGCCAAAAGAAGTAGGACCTCAGCACTTCACTGAATACATAATGTAAATAAGTACCAGTTATTCTGCTTAAACTCTCCTGCAATCCTTTGAGGAAAACGTTTCACCTTAAGTAGGTGATTTTCCAGGTAATTAGGTAAATGTGATTGTACAACAAAAGTCAATGGCAACTTTTATCTGAAGAATAAAGAAGAGTAAACTAGAAATCCCTTATGCTAAACATGCTGACATTATGTTCAAATCCGCACATCTCAGCCAAATGAAGGTTATTGTCAGGGTGAAGCAGTGCTGAAAGTTGATGTGCTCGCCCAAAAAGAATATGACCCTGTTTTGCTCCTGTCACCCAATAAAAGCAGGCCGTTCTCGGTGTGTGGGCAGGCGTTAGTGCCAGCCAGTTGCAGTGCAGATGGCTGGGCGCTGGGCTGTCTGATGGATCGCTTACATTCGGTGAGGACTGGACCAATGGCGTCGTGGATTGATTGGCCCTAAGGGGCCGTCGGGGAAAGCACTTCCTGTGTGTGTTAATGGACGCTCCTGCAGAGGCACTGTGGCGGCTTGTGGCAGGGTGATAGTTGTTACTCCCTCTCTCCCTCCCTCTCTCTCTTTTTCCCAGCCCTCCTCCTCCTCATTTGCTTTCACTCTCCCAGTTAAATTAGAGGAGAGTCAAGTGAGACGAGCCAGGCTTCCGCGGCAGACAGACTTTCTAGTAGCTTTCTAACCCGACACCAAACCCTTTCAATACACTACTGTAGCTATGTGGAGAATTACACAACTAAGAGGGTAATCACTAAAACTATTTTTAAAGTCGTTTTACTAGAAAAGGACTATAAATTGATATGTAGGTCCCTGGAAAGACCTTAATTATTTGGTACCAATTATAAGGAAAATTGAGACAGTATACAGTTGGTATATTGCAGTTCAGCTGAATTTTTACCTAATTGTTACTTAATGTTTATATGAACAGTTCTTTCCCAACAGAAATTTCCCTGGAAACCAACAGCTGCTTATACAATTGACAGCTAACCAAATGTCACTGAACTGTGTCTCTATTTTTTCTACAGCCTACTTGGCACCAAATTACATGGGTACAGAAGAACTGACAACCTGACAACTGTGCTCCTCTCAAGGTGAAATTAAAAGTCATAGTAAGTTAGTGTACGGATATGTGGACATCAGTGTGGACATGAGTGTGTAAATAAGGTTGTACCCAAGTCTGCCCAGCTGCTCCAGCTCCGGCACTGGGGGTCCATCGATTTCAACATGAAGGGGCTTGTAGTGGTACAGAACTTCCTCTATCTTGGGCACAGGCTGGAGAGACACCGTCTGACGCTAAAAAAAAAAAAAAACAGAGACAACATTCAACACAAGACAATAATATTCATTGTCTCAGTTTGCAACACTGCAACACTGGAAACCATGGCTTTGTCATAATCAGGATGACACAAACGGAAAAAACTGTTTGGAAAAGGCTTAATGTCAATCAAACCGCAGCATTAACAACCACAAGTTCTTGACCGACTGGTTTGGAAATGGGGGTTTTGTCTGACAACTTTTTCACTTTTCCCCCAGGCACTGCTGGTTTAGTGGAGAAACCTAACTGGGACAATGACTGAGCATGTTTTTAGTGGTCAGCACGCTCTTGGCAACTCAACAACTATTCCTGATGGAAATCTGATCAAGAAACAAACATAACATCATACAGGAGAACTGTGGTGGGGTTGATGAGGAAATGCAATTCCTGATAACAGAAATTTAGTGTACTTTGGCTCAGAAATGACTATCTGCTATGTTAATAAAACCAGCAAAAGACAAATCAACTAACAACATAAACTTAAATATGGTAGACTAGTGTCAGTGCGTAGGCAGTGCTTTGTTATAGTTACTTACATCGTCTTTCCAGGTATTCACCTAAAACAAAGTCGATCAAAACCGGATCTGCACGTGACTGAAATTAGGAAAATGCTCAGGATTGTTAACTTGCAAATGTTACACTGCTGGGTCTCCTAAAGTCATACGATATGTAGTGTCAAGCACTGAAAACTGTAGTCTGATTTATAACAACCCCTTTCAATTACAAATTACTCAAAGTTGAGATTTCAGTCAGGCTACTCCACTTCCTAATGCTCTTGACCATGGTGATCGAGTGAGAAACATGATACTTCTTAAGGACACTGTAGAATTATTCGATTTGGGGCTCTGCCATCAAAGGGGAATTTCCACACAGCGTCAGACCGCTATGTTTTCACCAGCATTAAAGTAATGAGACTTAGAAGACGAGCCAGAGTCATGAAACAAACCTGGAATTAAAAAGATGATGTCTAAACAAACACTGACTATTTTAGAGTGTAGCAAATGAACTTAGAGACAAAGGAGAGATAAAAAGATAGGGAGAGAGCAAAGAAAAGAGTAGTGGGGGAGTATAAACAACAGAACACAGAGGGGAGCTGATGAAAACCAAACTAAACGAGTAACATGTGCCCTGCGGCCTCAGACTGCCCGCCCTCACACATGCTTTGGCCCATGCGAGCGCACCCACGGGGAAATAAAGCAACCAAAGCTGAGCTGGAAGTTACAAAAGCACCAAGTGATGCACACTGAGACAGCAATGGATGCAGAGTTTCTTTGCCAAGCACAACATGGTGGAAATTGTCCTAACCAGGCCAACATGTAGGGACAGTTTCACAGACAAAACAATAACCACACACATACACACACACACACACACACACACACAGACACACAAAGAAAACTTGCAATACTATTATAATGTTATATATCATTAATATACAGTGTTCAATGTATTCCAGGATTTATTTTCTGATTTACCTTTTTTCCAAGCTTTTCTTCAAATCTGTTTCAAGCCTTATTTCCAGACCTTCAGATTAGCCCAGTCTATTGAGTTGACTGATTCACTCTATAGGAAATGTAGTGTAATAACTTGACAATTCTGTCTGATAGCAGGCAAGAACTTTCAACTACCTTAACAGAACAAGTCTGAACCTGTTGCTTTCAGCGGTGGTTCACACACGCAGGTGGTACTATACTGACACTAAAAGAGTGGGTTTTTCCAGCGAAGAAATAGTGAGAGTTGAAATCACAACACAAACATGTCTTTTGGCACCATTAACGTATGATTATTTAACTACCGTTGCTGGAAAAACAGGTATTGATTCATTTCCTTTTATATAATAAATCAAATCACATCTCTCAAGGCCTTGCTCCTTGACTGTAAGGAATACTGAAATCTGACATTTATCCATGTTTGGTCACCTACTGTATCATAATAAGAGAAAAACACCCAGCACATTGTTCATATATGCATGCCAAGTTTTAAACACGATTGTTGGATTTTTCCCTTAAAAACACACAAACACGAGACACGCTTCACTGTGGTTTTCATTCAACCTTTAACCCCAAGGTGCCAGTGATCCCCTATCCTGTCTCATCCATCCAACACAGTGGAGCCCCACCACAGGCTAATGAAACCCAGACCGAGCAACCCAAACTCAGTCACTCTCCCTCACTTTCACACTCCTTCAGTTTCTCCATCCATCTTCTTTCAGACTTTCAGCACCGTTTAACTCCCCTACTGCGCCAATCAAAGAGACGCACTCTGAGGTAGAAGCACAAGAAGAAAAAGTCTACAACGGTGAAGTGGTAGAGAAAGAGAATGGCAGATTGGGAGTTGCAGATACCTAAGGGGCAGTAAATCAGATTTTTAAGTGACAGACAGAACAGGGCCAACCTCCAGTCAAGAGAAATTTCTGTTGCATTCCTCTGCAAAGGCACCTTGAAAACTGGCAGAGACACATCATCATGAGCAAACACCGAATAAGACATGCATACACGACAACAGGCTTTACTCTTCTGAATATATTTACAAATAATGTGTAAATGAAGGATTTGTAGTACTTCTAAACTGCTTTGATACAAGACAAGCTGTCCATCTAATGCAGAGCTGTGCCCTCTCGGACTTGCTCTGTCCTTCACCCCACCTAATAATAATGCTGAAACTTTCAATCATGAACTCATCACGTCCTATTAAAAGCTTGTGTGAATTACAGCATATGAATGTTGTTTTCCAAATGCTTCGGTGAAAGAAAGCAACAGAAGGGGAGGGAGAGGGGACCCCCAGCCAGATCCAGCAGAGCAGAAATGGCTAAGGGACTAGGGGCCATTGGAACAACACCACTATAAGAGCCAACACAAACATCTGCTTTTAACATCACAGAGGCCCATCTTACTACCTACACAACATTATGTGCGCCCTCATGACGCTTTCAAGTTTGTGTATAACTGGTATTAAAGACTCGTATAATACCCCTGTGACACTAAAATGAAACTCTGGGGGCCATCCATCTTAATAAAACCGCAGGGGAGGATGATTTGAGGAAATCACCATCACGCCTCTGGGAGAAGTCCTCCTTCTCCTGGTCTTGTGATCCTCATACTTCTATCTCAGGTCCAGACAGTTACCGTGATCTAGTAATATCAGCTTCAATTTCTTGGAGTGAAACCGTTTTAAAAGGTCAAGTAAAGCCGTCAATAGTGCCTGTCCTCGTGATGGTGGAGGGGACAGGTGTGCTGGCTTGGAAAACTGTTAAGCACTCTACGCATCTGGGGGGGTTGAATTTGGCTCGTGATGTGCTGTCACGTTACTGTGACAGCACATCTTCATAGTACCATCTGGGAAAGCAACATGGTTAACCCATCTGACAGAGTGATATGGCAGATATTCGTGTGACTTTTATGGGACAGGGGTATCATAAAAGTCACATTACTTTTAAGGTTTGAGAGGTCTGCCCCTGAAGCATAGCATTGACTGCACCCAAGTCTAAATTAAAAACGGGTCTTCGTAAGAGGTGCTCCTACATTTTGACACAGTGTATTGACAAGCCTGATTTTTTTCAATCACTTCTTAAAACTCACTTTTATAGATGTTTTTCTGCAACATTGTTTATTTCATTATCTGTAATGCTTTGAAGCATTACTTCTATGCTTTTGCCATTTGCACTTTAAATTTTTGTCAAAGATAGAAAGTTCTACTCAGTCAAGGAGGATGAATTTGATGTTCATAAGGCTAATCTTGATCAAAGCTCATTGGCCAACAGCTCAAATCATGGGTCACCACCAAGAATGCCACCAGAAACATGTGCTAACACACACACACACACACACACACACACACACACACACACACACTGCACATCATCAGCACTCTTCAGTCCCCCCCGCCCCCCATCTCTCCTGACTTTGCAGCTCAGCAGGACACATCAAGGTCGCTTGGAGACTAACCTCTCCATCAGCACCTCCCCACTACATCCACAGACACACACACAAAAACCACATACTATCGCTTGGTTCCAGAGGGTTTGGGGACCCATAACTAGCTCAAGCTGAGCTCCAGAGGCAGTGAGGCCCTTGTCACTAATGCACAATGTGATAATGGGAACAATGGTAAGGTAAACAGTGGTACAGGGGGATAAAATGAATAAGCCCAGTTAGAGGCCAGCCTAGTGCCATCCCATCCCCATCCCCAGCCCTCACTCCACCTTCTGCCCTGGCACTGCCACTGCTTCTGTATGGATAAAGAGCTTTGAGCTCCCCACTGGCCCACTGAGCAGCAAGTAGCAAGTGTAAAAGCTGCTGCCCACACAGTGCCTCCCCTTGCCTTACAAGTTTAAATATAACTGCCTGACCAGTGGCAGCTGCCCCAGCGCAAAGCCCCTAAAGCTGACAACTCCTTTTTCTGTAGGGTTGGGCTGGCCTGTCCGTTGGCAAGGGTTGCTGAGGCCAACCTAAACAGGGCCAAGCCAGGGGCAAGGGAAGAGGTGTGAATGCCCACGTGCTGGTGCCAATCAGGGCTGACGGTTCTCTTTACCTCCTGAGCTGACCCCCTCTCCCAAGTCCCTGCAGCTATCGAAATACATGCCAGCAATCCAATAAAAAGAAAAAAAAAGGCCAAAGTGCAAAAGGGTTATGCGGTCTACCACATAAAATCCACCATCATTGGTTTGTGAATGCTTTATCCAAGTCATAAACAATAACACATTTATATATATATAAATGACAACACAAATATCTGTGCCTGTTACTATTTGTCTCAAGAGTGTGAATAAAGGAAATGAAAATAACATAGATAGTGAAAGAGTTAGTGGGGGTTGGGGGAATATGTAGCATCAACCTCCCAGGCAAAACAGGTTAGGCCAGTCTGCCAGAAAAAGTAAAGCAGAGCATGTGTCCCGACCAAAGGTATGTCTACCGACCAGAGGTCACTGTAGAGGACAACTTAACCAAGTAAATCAGGCCTAAGCAAACAAGTTCACAGCATGAGTGTGTGAGTGTGTGTACTTATGTTAGTGTTTTCTATTGTAGTCAAATTCCACTGCCTAAGTGTAGAATGGAATAAAGCCAGAGAGAACCCAGCGGTTAATTTCAGCTAGCTTCACATCTATGTTTAGGGATAAACTTTCCACCCACATTTGTCTGAGTGAGCTGCACTTTGTTTATGTGCGTGTGTGCCTCCTGCTTTCATTAGGTGCCCATGCCGGCCTCATCAGGTATGTCAGCTGCTACTGCCGCCTGTGAGGAGTGGATTGGGCCCCAGCAGTGCTGGAACCTTGGACCTTTCATTTAAGATGGCGCTGAAAGCTGCTTCAAGGTGGAGAGATTCCCCATCGGTCAACCGCTTTCAGGAATGGGACCCTGCAGCAGCTGAGGACAATCCCTAACGTCGCACATACACTCACAAACACAATAACTTACAAACAAAGCAATCAGGATTAAACACTGTCAAAAACTAGTAAGACTCAATTACTCATGGAATGATTAGACCAAAAATAATTCAACTCATGTCGTTTTGCTCCGAGCAGGTGCCATGACAGAGTGCCATCAGGCTTGGCACTGGGGCTGGTCTTATGTGTCAGACAACAACAAGCAACCTGTTTAAACAGTGAATAGTTGCCTCCCTCCCTCACAGAGAGTCTCTTTTGATATAAGCGGACATCTTTTTTTAGAAAGACACTTTATTCTTCAAAGGATGTTTACTCAGACTGGGTAAAGGGAGTGTGTGTTTATGTGTGTGTGCGCGCACCCGCATGGGTATGTGTGTCTTGGTTCAATAGAATGCCTACAAAGTGAAGGATTAGTGAGTGATTCCAGACCATTCCTCAGGCAAGACCAGGCCCATCCCACCTCACATCACACCTGGACCGAGACTACTTTCCCTCAGGATCGGCTAGCTTCCTCAAGCATCCATTCAAAAACACGCAACCCGAATAATCAGGATCAGGGTTGGAGTCCCCTTCACCAACTCCAGAAAATCACCCAGGCAGAGCAGTGCCAGAATGGCTGAGATGTCCCCTTGCATGTTCCCAGTAAACAACATGACACAAGTAGATGTGACATTAGATCACTCTTTAAATAAAAACTACAGTCATTGGGAAGCTGAAGAAGAATTGGCATCCTCACGTTCCATGGATCGGACGGCTCAAAGATAGGCAGATATGTCATTCCACCAGTGACTGCTCACCTTGGCCTGGGGTGAAGCAGCTGGCTGAAGTGCTGGTGGGGTGGGTGGTGGGGGGAGTGGGTGAGTGGGGGGGAGGGTGTTAGGAACACAATGAATTTCTGCCTCCATGACTGGCGAACTTGCATATCACCAAAAACATCCACATGAAAAAAAAAGGGTCATGAATCAACCCCTTGTCCATTCATCACTGTCACAGTCTGTTTTTCCTTTATGTACATCCTTTGCAACAAAGTATGGATACTGGAGCTTCTACTAATGCTTATTTTCAGTGTCCATTAATCTTGTCTTTTAACATAATAGTCTATTATTTGTTTAGTGAAAACTGTCCATCACAATTACCTAGAGCCCAAAGTCACACTGTCAAATAGTTTGTTCTGACAGTTACAGTAAAAAACCTTAAGATAACCCGTTTTCAATGATAAAAAAAGGATCAGAACCTCACATGAGAAGCTGCAACCAGTTAATGTTGCTTGATTAATGACTTAAACGTACAAGATGACATTTCTGTTTCTAGTGGTCTCTCTCACATTTAAACAATAACAGACGTAGTTTGATGATGTTGTGAAAGAGCGTTGGATCATGGGAGTTGTTGTATTCATTGTTAAAAACCACAATTGGGGGCGCCAAATTGGTAGGTAGACCTGGTAGAGCTGGCGCCATGTACTAAGGCTGAGTCTTTGCTGCAGTGGCCGAGGGTTCGAATCCAACCTGTGGCTCTTTGCTGCGTGTCATCCCAGCTCTCTTTCCCCCTCTTTCCTGTCTATCTTCAACTGTCACTATTGAGTAAAGGCAATAAATCCACAATTGCCGATGAAAATCTATCTGACGTGACTCGGGCAGGAAACATGTTCACGGACAAGGTAAATTAAAGTTTTATTCATGTTATGTTCAGTCACGTTTGCCGACTTCCTCTCACTCTCCCCCATGTTACCCAGAAGTTACAGCAACTAGAGGCAAGTTAGGAATGTACCATGTATGAAGTATGGATTTCTCCGTGTTTGAACATTGTTGGAATCATTTGGGATGATGTAAGTACACAACTAGATTTTTATGACATTTTAATGTGGAAATGTTACGTATTATATGCTTAAATGAATGACTACCAAAATAGTAGTTTTTCTGTTGACTGACAAATCTGTTGAATGACAAATCAATTAATGACTGAACATTTTAGCAGTAACTACTACCCCTGTCACTGCACAGGAGTAGAAATCAACCTAAATGTGAATAAAAGCTTATCGTGGAAATGTGGCACAGCTTTAGAAATGTGTTTTTACATTTGTCTCCACTAATTTCTGCTGAAGAAAAACTAAAACCCTGCTTGGAAGAAGGGACCACAACCTAGCAGATAAATGAATTCCAGCAATCTGCAGGAATCCACCGCTCTGTGCTGAAACCCCACCAAGTCAAACAGAAGTCATTCTTATGGACGCTGAGGTGAAGGGAAATCCAAACCCACACGTTCCCCTGACTCAAGTCTCTCAGTCCAAAACACAGCAGATGCATGGTGAGACCTCTGCTCCACCAACAGGAGCTCAGAGACGGGAGGATGAAGAGAAATGGGAAGAAAAAGCGAGGAAAAACAGCCACAAAAGAAGCCAAGACCAACATAATCATGCTGTTTCTCTCTCCATCAGCAAGTTTAACTTCATGTTGTATATCACGGGGGTGAGAGTCAGAGTACCACATCCTCCATTTGGATCAGTTCAATGCTTTTCCACTGGTGGTGGATGAGCCAGTTGTGTCTTTAATGAGTAAATTAATGTTTTTGTAAAGTCTCTGATTATCACTGCATCACTTTCACTGAGATCTTTTTGCCAGTGGAAAACACATTTAAATGGGCAGGATAGGCAAAAAGAGATTGGACAGGAGAGAGTTGGGTTATAACCCAAGTGTGTCATATCTCCACCTTAAGTGTAATAAGCAGATATCTCTCCCACGCATCACTGAACTGTGGGAAGACAACCATGCCTCATGAGGGTTGCTGGGGGTGGGGTTGGGGTGATGACACAGCCTATCTCATCACAGTAAAATGAAAATAAACTACTGAAAACCTGAACGAAAGCCAAATGGAAGGTCTCTTCAGACATGGTGAGCACAAAGCTGTGAGCTCAGAGTGGCCAGAGCCCTGAGCCCACATGCTCTCTCTGTGGGTCCCACTATTCGCACAGAGGAATGTGATGACATGACTGAAGGGGTGAGGGCCTGTTCCCACACTGAAGAAGCACCAGGCACAGAGAAACAACATCCCTTTGAAGGTCTGGACTGTTGTCAACAAGCACTCCACATGAAGTTTAAATCAGCACTGAACTACAATCCCACCAAGGACTTTACTGATCGGATGTACCTTTCCATCAGAGGACAGAGGTACACAACCATGTGACCTTAACCTGCATGGGGTCATTGTAAATATAGTAGCTATTTGTTATTTATGGTACATATATCTTCTTCAAGCTCTCCTGTTACACTGCGATCTTTCATTTGAAGCAGCCCTTTGATTCATTTGAATAAGGCCACTCTGTTGATGCATAGGTGATACTTATGCAGAGGAATCCTTCAAAAACTATTATTTACCTGGCCCAGTTTTTGTACTTTCCTGGGAGATTACTACGTAATGTGAACTATGTATTTTTCACTGTTTATCTCACAAATACTGCTCCAAAAAATAAAATAATTAATTAAAGGATAAAATTCTTTTTTGTAATATTACACACCCACATGCAGTGTTTTGGCATCTTATACGCCTTCAAACTGGATTTTTTACTTCAGTTGGACTTCCTGATGGTAATTAATTGTCTCAGCATTACCTGAAACACAGCTTCTTGCATCAGAAAATGCCCTACTTTGATGTGAGCTAGTATAGTGGCAAAGAGAGAAAATAACTGTCCATTTGGAGCTGAGTATGTAAATTACCGGCTTGAACACACCCATGAGCATCAGGCTTGAGAAAGGCAAGAGAGCCTGTCACTTCGAATTTGTATATATGAACCGGGGTTAAAAAGCTAATATGCCTAAAGTGGTGCACTCACCATATGGATTCCAGTCGAAAACAGATTTGTAGGTTTGACTGCCTGTTTCTGCTGCTCTATCTGGGTCTCCAGCTGGGCAGCACGGACCTTGTGTTGGGCAAGCAAGATGGTGGCAGGAAGTTGGGACTTCTCCTGGAGAAACAAATGGGATTTGGGATTTTATCAGAATGTTAATGTTAGATGTGTGTGTGTGTGTGTCATACATGCAACAAAGTGCTTCATTAAGAACTTTTATGCTCAGTACAAACAGCTGACACCTGCACACATTGAGGCCTTTTCCCTTTGTGACTGTTATATGTTAAGAAAAGATGAGGACACCCACCCACCCAGACATCTCTGTCTAACCGGATAACCATCAGGATAGGGTGCTTTCAGGCTAGCAGCCACATTATTGATGCAAGCCATATTAACAAAACTGTGGCACTGCAAGGGACGCTGCTTCAAGTGCACTGCGCCGCCTTCACCTCCATTAAATGCAAGGTCGGACGTTTCAATTTCTCCAGTGGAGTGTTGCCAAGCACAGAGGTCTAAGAACACAAGCTTGGACACGTTGTGCATTGAAGAGGTAGGACATTTTTGATAGAGTGGACAGAAAGGGTAGGACATACTAGAGGTGTCTTAGCATTTAACAATAAACCAAAAGCGATTTAATGGCTTCCAACACTAATTAGTCCTGGTCAAACGGCAGAAATGTACAACTTTCACTTATTTTGGACAGGCACTTGGTTTGTGAATTTACTTGCTTTATTCGGATGGCATCACATAGTTAACAAATGATAAATTCAAGATGGACATACATATACAGATATACACCTGCACATGAATAATGTAAATTCAGTGTTAATATTAGATAAGAACAATAATCAAGATGTGTGTTATAAGTTCCCAGTGAGGTATTTTATAGATTAGTTACCCACTACTTCAGCAAACAGTAACAAAGAATCAAAATGTATGAGTTGGTGTATGTTTGGGCGCAAATAACAGTGAGCTTTCTGACCACAGGGATGTACAGATGTCAGTGCTCTGGACAGTTCCCTAAGGGGGGGTGGGAGTTGATCTCATCTGCCTACAGTCAACAGGCCCTGTGCCTTAAACAAACAAACACACAGCTTAGCCTGCTATCTGCGATGGTCCTTCAGCAGCCCGCTCTGCAGGAACAATCACTTCCAAAGCCCGCAGCTCAACACAATGGAGCCAAGAGGCTTTGGAATCACAGAATGAGAACAATGCAGCCAGCAGCACAATGACTGGTAATAAGCTCTTAATGATCGCACAGCCATGAACCCTCAGGCGGAGTGTGTGTGTGTGTGTGTGTGTGTGTGTGTGTGTGTGTGTGTGTGTGTGTGTGTGTCAAACATAGAACATCTGTCATATTGTCACTGCTTTTTACTTCAGTAGATGGTGGAAATAAACATACATGCAACATGTGTGTTTCTCACCAGTTCATCCAGGAGAGCCTGTTTGTTCTTCCTCTTGGCCTGTAGCTGCCTCTGCTCCTCCTGCAGCACATCCAGTCTCCGCTGCTCATTGCCCTGCTGCTCCAGCAACAGCAGCTCCTCTAGCTCCTCCTGCTCTCGCGTCTGACGTGTTCGGGGAAAGAGAACAGGGATGTTGCAAAAACTCACATTGCATCTTTGACCACAAGGCTGAATCTCCACAAGCCCTAGTGATGCCATAATGTACTTCTCCTTACAGTCTGACTTCTCAGAGGAGAGTAGTAAGCCATAAGAAAAGCTTCCTCCAGTTAGCACCAAATTATCATTATTAATGAAGATATTATGTATGGGAGGGAAAATACATACAAGTTTAGCCTTATTCCTCTGGATGATATCTCTGTTCTCCCTCTGGTATTGTTCCATCCTCAGCTTGGTGTTCTCCACATCAATGTTGTTTGTCAGGTTATACACTACATGGAGGAGACGCAATCCATTGTTAGGGGCCAATATGTTCCATCAAAAGCTTGTCAAATGGTCGAATAGATTCGGAAACCCCCTCTCCCCACATCTTTCCGATTTCGGGTTGGGGGGCCTTGTCAGATCATTTCTGTAACTTTTTTTTCCAAAACCAACAATCTGACATCAACACTGACTTTACTCAGGCCAGCTGTGTGGAGGTGGGAAAGGATCAAGGAATTGAACTTCTCTCTCATCTCTCTTTCTTGAACTATTTCTGTCACTTTTCATGACAACACTATGAACAACACGTTGTTCGACCTAGTTCTGACAGAGTATACCTCGGCCAGAACCCAACAGTCCCTTCTGTGGGTCAATGCCTATGTCAGATGTTGTGAAGACAGTGAAGACAAGCACTTTTCAAACCCATGATTCTAATATTTTCCATTATCGTCAAGATCCAAAGAGTTCCAGAGATAACAAATATATGTCCAGAAGAATTACAGAAAAAGTGGATAAATGGATAATCAAGGCATGTAGAATTTTCCATTTGATGGCATCTGGTAATACAAAATTCTCTCAGTTTAAGGGAGATGCTGTAGAATTTCACTGACACACTGGAATGAGCGAATACAAAAATACTTATATGCTGTGGAAAAAAGTTAAACTTCAAGGCTGCTTAAGGGGGAATTTATGGAGAAATTTTGAGGGTTTAAAAGGTTAAAAAACCACTGGTGCAAATTCCAAGCCCCAAACCTATGACCTAGACCACAGGAACTGTTTTGCCTTCTGTTAAGGGCTAAAAGCCATTTTAGTGTGTATTATAGGAACTTGATACTTGACATTTTCTTTCTGGCCCTGCGCTGTCCCACTTAGCACATAGATTTTACATTGTGATGATGCCACACACACAAGAAAATTGCTTTTCTAAGCTCTGGGAAGGATACAAGGTTATTTATTGTTTTTACAACGTAGTAGTTCCCTTAATGCTACTTGTGAAAACAAAAACTATATATACAAAATTATATACAGTAAAATTGAGTGGAAGTGGAAAAAAGGCAAAATAAAAAACTATTTTACATGATGAGGGTGAATTAAGCAGCCTTACTGCCTCAGGGAAGAAGCTGTTCTTAAGTCTGGTGGTACGGCAGCGGAAGCCTGTGTACCTCTTTCCAGATGGCAGCAGAGCGAACAGGCTGTGGCTGGGGTGGGTGCTGTCTTTAAGTATCCTTTAGGCTTTGTGCAAGAACCTCAGGGTGGATCATTGGTGGATGAGTACCAATGATCTTTTTAAACCCTTGTGGTTTAAAAATATATAACATAAAGAGCAATAAAAAAGACAAAAAATGTATGTTTTTGGGGCCGTATGGGGAGTTTTTTTTGTTGCAGCAGCAACAGTCGGTCACTGGGACAAAGAAGCAGTGAGGTAGACTGGCCGTACCATATCCAGCTAAAGGTCCACAGTGGGTTGCCAGTCAGGATGTGTTAGAATTGGCAGAGCTATTCCCTGACCCATACCCCTGGCTTGCACTAATGCCTGTAAAACATCCCCCTGTGCAGCCAGAAAATCATTACACCAGTAAGCATCCCTTTTTGCCCTCCGTTTCAGCCTGAAGCCTCCAAGTCTACCCATAGATGCTCCTACCTATGTCTTCCAATTGCTCCAGGTAGTCGTTATATTCTCTTAGGCTGGAGAAGTCAACATCTCTCTTGTTGTATCTGCATAGAAAGAACAGATGTGGTGATAGAAATAGTAAAACCTGATGAAAGCAAATATGCACTGGCATTAATAGCCTCCATTAAAACAACCATTTTATAATACCATTGTCTGCATACTGCCTAATAGACACACATTAGATGTCAATTAAGGGGCTATTAAAGAACAGATGAGAGGGAGAGAGAGAAGGCGGGGAAGGGCTGAGAAGTAAAAACCTGGCAGGGAAAGAGCCTTCCCGTTTGAGCCCCCCCCGGGGAAATTCATTGTCTACAAAACAAACAGTGTAATGAGAAAGACAAAGGTGGCTTAAGAAGTGGGAGGAGGCATGAGATGACACATAAACACACAGAGCCACACCCCTCACCCTGCCAGTCTCCCCTCACTCACATCTTCAGCACCTTCTTACGAATCTCCACCTCCTTATCTACGGTCGGGTCTTCGAAGAGCTGCACACGGAAGTTGCTCTTCCTCAGAGGTGTGTCGCACTGCACGCAGTTACCCGAGCCACGCACAAACAGCATGTCCACACAGTTTTCACATCTGTGTGGGAGAGGAGACAACAACACAGAAAATACTATCAAGCTGAGTTGAGTGTTTCCAAAGGTGACCCTCCCAGGCAGGCTTCAGAGTTCACTGTGAGCATGTGTGGGCATATGTTGTTGCTGAAATACAATTTTCCTCACAGTAAAGCAAATTTGTGTTTTTTTTCTATGCCTGTAAGTTGTCATCGGGCGTAGTGGGTGATAATGGGGCACATGAATATTTCCTCTAAGTGCTCAAAGATGGCTGGAATTATGATTGGAATGTCGATTAGGCTGCCTCCAACTCTCAGACAAGAGGAAATTAGTCTGACACCCCATCAGTGGAGTGTCTGTCTGCACTGGAAAAACATTTGCCTTATTGTTATTTCAACAGACCTCAGTCATTCTGCCACGTTGCATAATATGATAAAATCCAGCTCAGTGACTCAATGTGTGGTCCATCAAAAATATTATTATTGTTAAGAATTTTAAGATGAATTGTCATTTGTGCTTAAGGATTTAATTTAAATTTAACAGAGCACACGTCCAACCTTTCTCCCTTTTCTGCCAGAAAGTTTAAGCCACATTTATAAATACTGTGGAAATCTAGGCAGTTATTGATCAAAATATCTACTGTAAATCTGTTTAATGGACATGATTACTTTCCAAGACAAAATATGTAGCAGGACAGCACAGTCATGATGAGTTTTTCAGACAGCCTTTGGTTCCTAATATAAGCGCCTATGAATCGCAATTCTCTTCAGTAAAGAGCACGCCTCTCCACTCATGACCAATGCTGAAGAAAAAGGCAGCGACATTCTTCAGATAATGTTTCAGGTAAAACCCAGGTTCAAACAGGAAAGTTAACTGCATGCACCATCGCGACATGACTCCATGGCAACTAGCAGACCTACCTAAGGGCACAACCCTGAGCTTAGCCATCAATCACACCTTTATGCAGGTAGGCGTTTACTCATCAGTCACACTCAAGTGAGGAGTGGACAGTGAAGACAATGGGAATGTTCCTAAATCTCCCCTGATGGGGTGGAGGGCCTGGATAAACGTTTGCACAGTACACTCTTTTAATTAAGTCTCTGCGGAGCTTTATTTCCACAGGAATTCACCTTCCTGCTCGTGACCACCATCACAAAAATGGACATCTGGTTTCCAAATGTCACAATCTGCTGTTGAGCACTGACAGTTTTCATAATAGAACACAGCAAATTTGATGGGAAAAAGCCTTATTTTTTACCATACGTCATTGATGGTATGGTTGAGTCATTTATTTCCAAAGTCAAGGCCTGGGCTTGAGATACTCGTGCCTAGTCAAAAGCTCTCTTGGGGATGGAGCCTATTAGAACAATCATGACGGAGTCATCATGCAAGAAATTTTGCTTCATCAGCAGCACTCAAAACAAAAAAGCAGTTAAAGGAGAAACTGCAGAGCCATGGAGTTTGGCTGTTTACGCCTAGCATCTTAGATATGGGTCAAACAAGCCCAACCTGCCAAGCTTTCACAGCCATACAACAAACAGAACTTTGATGAAGCATCACAGGGGACAAGCATGTCAGTTCAGCTTGGCTTAGATGAAGCCACAAAATAAAAATGAAAGCTGAACGACAGACGGAGACATCTGCCTTGTCCAGTTGGTGCTTCAGAGCACGAAGAGCCCCTGCTCAAGTGCACCCTGGAAGAGGCAGATGTTCAGGCCTGTGGCCCCAGGCTACAGGAGATGTATAGGCCTGGCCATATGGAGGTAGATGTAGGGATTCAGCTTGTTTCCACAGGCCCACAAAGAGCCCATTCATCAACACAGGGTGAGGAGTGGGGCGTAGCTTGCCCCCTGCCCCATAAATGGACCACACAACAGAACTCTCTAAAGGGGAAATCCTGTGTAACTCTAGAGCAAAAGAGGTGAACGTCTAAGAGGGAGGGAGGAGACTTTCAGAGTCAATTGGCCATCTTTCTTCTAAAATGTGCATTCTCTAAGTGACAGATTTCAGATTGTGTGCCCGTTGCAATTTGTAATCAAAGGGGTAGCCAAGGCTACGCTATATTGCTTGCCATAGTGAACAGACATTTAAGTGAGCCGACAGACCTCTAGCAGCTTGCCATCTCTGTGTCTCTGGGCTGTTGTCACTGACTGAGTACTCCTGACTCCTCCCTCTCTCACCTGTCCTGCTCAGAGCTCCAGGCTCCTATCTTTCCCATCTGCAGCTGTCAGCAGGTCAAAGAAGGGGGTGGTAAGTGGAGGGTAAACAGGGTCCTGGCTCAGCAAAGAGGCCTCCACACCACCGCCACCCCCCACCGCCCTTTGGTGACATTGCCTGCATCTTCGACTCCTTGTACATGAAAAAGCAAAAACAAAACAGCACTGTAAACAGACAGGAGCTGGATTCACTTGTTTCTGCCACAAAGCTGATGATCTTCACAGAGCAATGACTGAGTCCAGACAGAGCAGAGCTGGCTTAGTGTCAAATTTAAACCTGCTATGACACTCTGTCCTGCCTTGTGACCTACAGTACCTGCAGCAGCACAGTCAGAAATGCTGAGGCCCAGGGGTATGATTGCTTACACAGGAAGATAGTATAGGCTTGTGTGATCTCAAAATAATAAAGCTTAGATTTGGTGTAGCAAAAAGGGCAGAGACAAAGGTCCCAAAGTTTATACTGTATATATGAAAAATATGTTTCACAAAATAAAAGCAGGGATCTGAAAAATGTAATGATATTATGGAGAAATACTGTACGGTCTGAATCAAAATCTAGAGGAACAGCAGCCAACGCTGAGGATGGATCCATTAGCAGCAAAGGCAACAAAACTTTAGGCTCGCTAATTGGCTGTCTTTTACAGCAATGCCCCGTTAAACTTGGAGTTGACTCCTCTCTTAAGTGAATAGTTCAACATTTTGGCAAATATGCTTATTAGCATCTTGCCGAGACTTAGAAGAGAGGATCAATGCCACTTTTATGTCTGTCTGTTATATATAAAGCTACAGCCAGGAGGTGGTGAGCTTCGCCTGGCATACAGACTGGAAATAGGGGGAGACAGCTGTCCAAAAATTTAAATATCTGCCTACTAGCACCTCTAAAACTAATTAATGTTATGTTATATCTCGTTTTTTAATCTGAAGTTGAAAAACAACAAATTATGGTTTTGTGGGGGGTTTAGAGGGGCAGGTAGTCAGATTGTATGCCTCAGTCTTTGCTAGGTGTTTCCCCGTTTCCAGTCTTTATGCTAAAATATCACGTGTTTCCCAAATTTCCAAGAATCTATGGAGAAAATTAACATTGCTTTTACTTCTGGATCCATGGACATCCAATTTTTTTTTACACTGTATATCAACCTAGAATTGCCAGGTACAGGAGATTACCATCTTCTTAATTAAGTGCATCTATCCTGTCAGCCTCTCTTTTAAGGGTACACCCCTCTAATCCCCACCGTAAATGTAAGCCACTATTGTTTGTGCCGGCCTGTGCCCAGTGTCAAATGCCAAAGGACATGGGGCCGGTGTCATTGTGCAAAGGTAATAAATAACACACTTCAAATGCCCCGGGTGACAGGGATACAAATTGTGCTGTGGTGGGGTTTAAATTTAGATGCATGCTAGAGGTGGAGAAGCTCAATACTGCATTGCATCGCCAGGGCACGGAGCCTGGTCAGCCCACTCAACCGAGTTAACAGTTATTTAAATGGATGAACTAGTGTAGTGAGTCCAACTAGGGCCGCAGCTAATGATTACATTGAGCATTGATTTAATGCCAATTTAATCACTTAGCCCGTATTCACAAATCAGTGCCCATGGTGGCATCTTCAAAACACCATATTTTTTTGGTGATTATAAAACACATTTGGCCTGGATCCAGTGAATGTTTTGTATTTTTGCTTGATGGTGTATGACTTAAACAATGAATACATTATATAAATTCAGCCTGTTGCGTCCGCATCAACAAACCAGCCCTAACATTGAGTACTATAATAGGATGAGTGGGACTGATTCTAGTCTGAGACTTTTCTGCTTACATGAACAACTGTAAACAGAGGTACATCACTCTGCAGAGTATGTACACAGTATGTGGAATGACATATCTTTCTAATTATTTCTGTGTTAGTTAGTTGTGGACTTAAGGATACATAGACATACCGCATGTGCGTGTACACAATTGCATTTCTAATTTCATATTACTCACATTTCCCTTTCTTTCTTATTTACTTTTTCTACACAGAATTGTTGCTTACACCAAATGGGAAATCAGTAACTGTGAAATTGAAACACATTGCTCACGCTACAGTACAGCTCTCCGATTTTATCAAGTCCTGCGGAAGCCTAGCCGCAAACAAAAAGCCAAATGACATCAGTGATGAAAATACTAATACAGTTTGAGAGTACAGCAGTTTCCAAGTGGTGCATTAATTCACCGTTGCACCGGCTCTGAGGAACAAATCCAAGGTGACCTGGGCTAGGACATCTCTCCAAATTGCTTCATTGCAGAATCATTTTAATTTTCTGTGTGTAGCCCTGCATCCAGACAGAGGCGGTGAGTTATGAGCTTGCTGACCTGATGACAAAGCACAGCCACTTCCTGATGGTACGGTCAATAAACAGACAGGGTCGAAAAAAAGATGCTCTCATCAGGCTACCACCGTCACTGTATGATGCTCTTCATTTAAATGGCCGCGTTTTTAAACAGATGACAAGGTTGAATATTAGAAGGTGAACAAGTTCTACTGAATGATGGCATGAGGATGACACACGATTAAAAACTGTAGCGTAAAGATAAATATGATTAGTGCAAGGTAGTGCTATTATTAATTAGCAATTAGCAATTATTACGAAAGCAGGACAGTCAAATTCCACTTTGTGATAAGTGACCAATTGTTGTCAACAAAAAAAAAACACGATATTTTTGCTGGTTAGCAAAGACTTGCTTACATTTATTTATCTAATTTCATTTCATTTTTAACATACTTTAATAATACTTTAGCATCCGGTAACTTGTGATGGACATGGTAAATCCCACCAAGGTTATAGGTAGAATAACTGTACCAAACCAGACCTACCACAGGGCCCTAGTTAGTTATATCAAAACAAGGTTTAGTTGAGACATGAAGGTGGAAACAGTTCCCTCTGTCACGGTAGGATCTGTAACAACTGGAATCAAAGAGAACAAATTCACCAGTTTAAATTGTATGTGTTCTTATAAGACGGGACTATTTAATACCTGTGGATATGTTTGCATCCATTATGTGGTTTATACACACAAAGTGTACACTCATCATCTGTCACCTCTCTCTCTCTCTCTCTCTCTACCACCCTGAACTTTTGGTATTTTCAGTCAAATGTAAGGACAGCCCACTCCTTCAGTGGTGTCATGACACAAGTTCTGCATGACTGAAGCACCAGGGTTTTAAAGAGGGACACAAATGGACAGTGCAGGTCAGGTTGAACCAATGTAGTGATATTAAGAGCCAACAGTCAGCCATGTTTATAAACAATCGATATCCAGATTAACGGTTATCATTCAGCACTGTTAGGGCTGTAATATAGCATAAACCCAGTTACAGACTGCATCAACCCGCCTGTTGACTCTATCTTTAGTCTTAGCAAGTCAGCAGTGGTAATATTATATTACCAATAACAATGTGGGATTTATTTTATATTGCTTAATGTGTGTCACAACGTTGTTATCGATAGCCAACCGTCGGCCGTTAGCTGACAGTCTAAACAATGTCTCCAACGTCTTTTAACGTCCAACCGTTAGGATTTAAGAGAAGGTATAAGTTAAAGCAACCGGAAATACTTTTAAAATAAGACTTGAACAAACTTATGTAGAGGTTTCTTGTGTCTTTTTTTTTGCACAGCTTGAAGCCGACACATCGTCGTGTTTGGTGTAAATTTGCTTCCCTCTTCATTTTCTCCAGCTGTCAGATGTAAATACTCACAGCGTGTGACCGCAGACGTTCACCATCAGCTTCAGCGACGGATTCCTGTATTTGGTTGTTTTGCATCTCGGACACCCCTGGTCGTCCATTTCTGTCGGTGCAACACAAAGTGAAAAAAGCTTAAGGAAAAAGAAATGTCAACAACTAGCTGCTCTTCTGTCACTTTTTCAGGCGGCGAACCGCTGCGTTACACAGAATGCGGTCCGACGGGAAACGCCACTAATAAGAGTAGTTCCTATTTAATGATAACCTCTACAGCAGTGGTGGTCACACTGTGGTGCTGGCACACCCAGGGGTCCCCTGAGGATCCCCAGGGGGGTCTGAGGTAAAAAAGCTGAGTGGTTTATTTTCACATAAAGGTTGTATTTAGAGAGGATGTTTTGATTATATGCTTCACTGTCTCCCCTGTTCAGTATCCTATAAATTACTCCCATATATTCCATGATCTAATGTAAACCTGACTGAAACATAATTAAAACCAAAAACCTCACCAGATGTTATTCCCCAGGGCTTCTGACATCATGTAGTTTCTGTTTAGGGAAATAATTCACTAAGGATGATGGATGTATCGAGGTTTATTATCTTAAATTAACAATACACAATGAAGTCAGGAAAGGTGTATTATAATATTATAATGATAAAACAATAACATTAATTTCAGTGCAAGCTGGTCTACATTTAAATACAGTTTTTTCAAAAGATATAGCTCTTTAAACATATTCTATCAGAGTCACTTAAAACCCAGACACAGCCTATGTGTCATTGATTGATAATTGATTTATTGACTATGTGTGGATGTCATTAATTGATCAGCCTAAAAGGGGCCCACCAAGTTCTTCAGAGTCACATTAGACTGACAATTATTAGTTGCAAGGAACAAAACTGAACAATTTCTCAGTTTTTAAATTAACTTGTTACAGGTTAGATAATGCTGCAAGACAAACATATGCTTTTACAGATGTATGTGTGGCTTTCATTGGATTACTAATCCTTATTTTGAAGATAAATAAAACCTTGTTATTTCAAATAATATTCATGGAGACATAGGTTAGCTGTGAGGGTCTAAATGTGAAAAGTGAAAATAAACTTTAGAGCTTTACTTTTTGGATGACCTAAATATCACAGCACACATACTTTGTATGTGAGGAAATGGTCTGAATTTGCATTCATGTTGGTTTCTGCTATTACTAAACACTCTTGTGACATTATGTGTTCTGGGATGATATGATCCAATGTGTGAGTATCTTTTGACAAATTGGCAATATTCCCACATTATTCCAATCACACCCAGGAACCTTGAACTATTATGGATCAGTCCTGAAAGTTTAAAATGTCCCCACCTGTATAATGATTGCTTATGGGGGACTGAATCTAACAGTGCAGAGTAATAAAAGTCAAAACTTAAAACTTTGGAAATATGAGCTAAAAAGGGAAGTGCTGTATGGGGCTCATCATTTAATGATTACTGTTGGAGTGGTGAACATCTGACAAATCCAGTCTCATATTTTATTGAATTTTTTGCGTGTTTATTTAAAATAGTAAAAAATAAAAACCCTTTACATTCAAGACAGTGATATTCTTCTTGGATTTCCATCGATATCGGAATAAAAACACGCCTTTATGTTTCCACATAAAGCTAAGTCAGCTCCTGACAATACAGACAACAAGGATATCCCGTTCCCACGATCCCGAAAGCACTCACCTTGCACAGGTGAGCCACGGGAATATACTGTAGGTTATATGACTGACAGCTGGAAACCAAACATTCGTGTCTGAATCCCGCTCGCTCCTCCCTTATGGGGCCCTCGGCGGCCAATAGCGTGGCTCTCCTGCAGATAGACCCCAGTGTGTCTCCTTCCAGCTCCAGTCCCCGCAGAGTAAAAGTCACGTTGGAAGGAAAAGGGGAGAGAGATATCTACTTACAGCTGCTGTCAGATATCCGATCGCATTCGCATGGCGAGGAGGTAACCTGATCGAGCTGGGAGGAGTGACTTTACCAGGGAAGGCTTGAACAAAAAAAATGTCTTCTTCTTCTGCCGGAGAAGTCACAACAGCAAATGACATCAAGAGGGAAAATGTGAAGGAGGTGGATACGCGGGAGTGCATCAAGCTTGTGGCGCTGGACGCGGCGGAGTTGTCCATGGAGCGCACGACTCCCAACACGGACGCGGTGCGCACGGAGCTGTTGGTGAGCGCCGCTTCCTCACTGGCTTTCTCCCCGGAGCAAGTGGCTTGTGTCTGCGAGGCTTTGCAGCAGGGAGGCAATGTGGACCGGCTGGCCAGGTTCCTGTGGTCCCTGCCACAGAGTGACCTGCTACGCGGCAACGAAAGCATCCTGAAAGCCCAAGCCCTCGTCGCTTTCCACCAGGCTCGGTACCAGGAGCTGTACAGTATTTTAGAGAACCACAGTTTCAGTCCGTCCAACCACACCTTTCTGCAAGATTTGTGGTACAAGGCCCGGTACACCGAGGCGGAGAAGGCGCGGGGGAGACCCCTGGGCGCCGTGGACAAGTACCGGATCCGGAGAAAGTACCCTCTCCCCAGGACTATTTGGGACGGCGAGGAGACTGTGTATTGTTTCAAGGAGAGGTCCCGAAACGCGCTGAAGGATCTGTATAATCAGAATAGGTACCCCTCTCCCGCCGAGAAAAGAAATCTCGCCAAGATTACAGGACTCTCCTTGACCCAGGTCAGCAACTGGTTCAAAAACAGGAGACAGAGAGACAGAAACCCGTCCGAGGCACAATCAAAAAGGTGAGGCAAAAAAAGAAACAAGCCACAGACTATTTCAACCACAAAAGTCTTAACAAATTATCAAAACATTTGTCTGAGAGTGCTGTGCGTAAAGGGCGCATTAAAATAGACCCGGGCTAATTTTAACAAAGTATTTGAAAGCTTATTCGGAGGAAGGGCGCCTAAGGTTTATAACCATTTACACTCAAGTCACTGGCTGACAATACTCAGTGTATTTCATACTCTCCCGTCGGACTCTCTTATATGATTTGACAACCTAAATCATCAACTGTTGAGGATTAAGAAACAAAAAAAAGTATGCGTAAAAGGGTTTGGAGCACGCTTTTAATGTTTTGAAATATGAAGCGGTTGCCATTCAGATCCGGTTTCAAGTGTGTTGGTGCTAAGGGGCATGGAAACCATAAGCAACAAAATAACATAGTAACTCACACACTGTGATCCGAGTGTCAGACACGAGGAGTTTGTGACTTTAATGAAACAATTAACAAGGTGACTTAAAAAAGTTACTTTAATTTCTTATCTACTTTGTGTGTGTGTGTGTGTGTGTGTGTGTGTGTGTGTGTGTGTGTGTGTGTGTGTGTGTGCACGAACTCAGAGGCGAACACACCAGCGCGTGCACGTGTTCCCTAGCCCAGCACATAAATCATTTTCATTATCACTTTTTTTCCCCCTCTCAGACCAAAAAGGAACTCAGAGGATCCATCAGCTCCTGCGTTTCATTTCATAATCCTCCTCACAAACAGACACAAATGTACCTTCTTTCATGTTTCTGTCTCTGTGAACAAAGCTGACGCACACCTGGTGGAGGTGACCCCTCTCTCTCTCTCTCTCTCTCTCTCTCTCTCTCTCTCTCTCTCTCTCTCTCTCTTTCTTTCTTTCTCTCCTACACACGCGCACGCACACACACATAACACACACACATACAGGCTGCCTTTAAGTCGCTACTAAAATTATTCAGAAACAACTTTTAAGTATAAGTTTACAACCTGTGGATATTTTGAACAAATCGTCTCTTATTTGTAGCAACTAGTGTCTGTGTTTTTATCTTTTCCCTGGAAGTTGGGGATGAGACGTTTTAGTGTGTGTGTGTGTGTGTGTGTGTGTGTGTGTGTGTGTGTGTGTGTGTGTGTGTGTGCTGGAGGAGGTGCAGCTGTTTGAATCAATCTTAAAAAAAAGGAGTTGTTCCTTAATGAGCTTTATCAACTACGTCTAGTTTTAAAGACTTCGTGGAAACAGATGAATAGGTTTTTTTTAAATTACAACACCAGATAAAATCGGAGGGAGAAATTCAAATAAATACCCCCAGCCATTTGTTTTGTCAGCCCACCAGTGCTGGCATTTTGTCACACCAGAATTTATTGCGGCAAATGGTTGCACGGTTGTTGACGTTGGTTGCTGTTGTCAGTGCAGCTCTCCATGAGGTAAGAGAGGGCTTCACATTCACAAACACAGCCTGCTCTTTAAAGCTGTGTAATAACACAGCAACAAATGTGACTCTGTCTGCTCTTTCTCCAGCACTGGCAAGATGTGGGTGGAAAAGAAATAACTGTATTTTATTGAATTTGTTTTGTAATAGTGCTTCAGAGTGTGTGCCAAAAAAGTGAACAAATGGGAGAAAAATACTTCATATCTGTATCAGTAATACATATTTTACTATCTTATTTCATTTTTTTTTATTTAAAAAGTGGCTTAAAGTCTCCTTATAACAATGATATACCACAAATATTTCCTGGTTTTTAGTTTTCCTTTGTTTTGTGACACACCATTTATCAGTCATTCTGTCTTTTTTTCCACAGTGAATCTGATGGAAACCACAGCACAGAGGATGAGTCTAGCAAAGGCCAGGAGGAGCTGTCTCCCCGGCCCCTCTCTAACTCCTCAGACGGGGTGATCACCCATGGGACCCTTCCCATTCAAACGGGGCCTCTGGACAGTGGGGTGGTCATCCAACAGATCGGGGACATCAAGCTGCCCCCCGGATCCAGCAGTGGTGGTCTCTACAATGGAAGTCTAGTGACCAGTAACACCTCCTCCACCATGTTTCACAACGGTGGCTCGTCTTACCTCCACACACCCGGAAACATCCTCTTCAACGGGCTCAATTTGGGCATCCAGCCTTTGGCCTTCAACCCTCTGAGGCCGTCTGGAGGGTTGCTGCTCGGGGGCTCAGGAGTGGACATGCAGATGCAGACAGGTCAGGAGAAGGGACTGGGCAGTTCTGCTGAGGACTCTGCCCTGCAGTACGCCTCCTATGCAGGCTGTGTGAACGGAGCGGAGGTGAAGCTGGAGGGGGTTCACACCATGGCCGCCCAGAACGGAGGCTCCTCTGTGCTCACGTTCAGCTCCTCGTCAGGCGCGCTGCAGCTGGGTGGCTACAGTCTGGTCCAGGTACCAAGTGGAGTCTCTGACAGCGATGGCAGCTCATTACTCAACAGCGACGTAGGTCTTC